AACTTTAATTGCTCCATGAAGGCAGATAGATGTCAAAATAGTGTGCACTATCCTTGTGGTATGATCAAAGAGCTTACCCTGCCCTCCACAAAGGAGGTAAGCAGTTGATTCCGGCAGTCAATGCCCTTCAAGCACAGCCATTGCAAAGTTCATGACTGCACTGGGAAGCTGAAAACATATGGGTGATGCTTAATGGAGCCCCTCTCTCTGATGAAAATGATGGAGCTGATAGAACAGGCTCCTGGCAATTTCTGCCACTTCTTCATCCAACAGCAAACCAGAGTCCAAATGTGCAACCAGGCTCTGAACCTAATTTGCTTAGCTTAATGCTGTGGGGAAAAAGAAATGGAGCCAGTGTAAGACTCCTGCCAAACAGGTCAGCAGAACTATCAGCAGGGAAAAGCCCTTCCTTTGCCAGATGAAAATGGTCCACCATGAATACCAAATGCTCTTGATACCACAATTAGGTCAGAGATTGGGTTTCTACTGGCTGGACTTGTCTGCTATTTCTAATCTCATTATATAAAGCTTGTTGTGCTTGATCTTCTTCCCCCTGTTAAATTCTTGGGTGGAAATTTGTACTTTTATTGCATCTCTCACTGGCTTTTGCACATGGTGATTCACGGTTCCAATGCAAAATAAAAAGCAAGCCCAGCTTGCTTTCTGTGCTGCTTTATAGTATTCTGTTGGACTGTGGGTGCATCTACAGTAGAAATAATGCAGTTGGACAACACTTTAACTGCCAATGCTGAATCCTACAGAATCCTGGGATTTGTAGTTTTTGAGGCACCAGCACTCTATGGCAGAGAAGGCTGAAGATCTTGTAAAAACTACAGACCCAGGATTCCATAGAATGGAGCTACAACACAGTGGTGTCAAGCTGCATTATTTCTACAGTGTAGATGCACCCTATGTTTTAACCATACCAAAAAGCCTTGACAGTAGTTCTATCTAAGCAAAAAGATTGACAGTAACTTGCTACAAGTAGTATTACATGTAACATGCTTCTTTCTGAGTGATGATGTTACAGAATTTTAAAATTAATGCAACTGGTAATATTCCTCTGTTAAGTGTAATGAGCAATATTTACTCATTGTTTTCTTATACATTGCTTGGGGGATCATTTGGAGGTCTTTGTGTGTTAAAAATATTTTTTAAAAACCAGGCAAAAGTAGAATACTTTCAGTTACTGTTTTAAGTTAGTGAAATTGTTAAAGCAACAACAATTGCTAACACAATACTCTTTTAACAAGAAATAATGAATAATGATAATGAGTTATGAGAAGGAGTGAAAAGAACAAAAAAAAAGAAAAGATCAACAAAAAATACTTGTCTTCTCTGTGTTACAGATGGCTGTATGCAGGTCAGAGAGAAGGAGCCAGGGATGACTAAAAGCAGGAATGATTTTTTCTTCTTAAACTGACCACTTTTAATTTGAAAATAAAAATGCACCTATTGCTTCCCAAACCAGTTTTTGGCTAAAATTGTTCTCTCTCTTTGTGCTATTTGGCGCTGCAGTAAGCACTCTTTGAAATAAATACAATTCTGGGTAACTAAACAAATAAAAATGGTCGGGTAAATTTTGCTTATTAAAAGCATAAATAGTTGTGTTGTTGAGCCACTTATCATCTGTTCAGAAAAAACAGTAGCAGGTTTGTAGCGGGTGCAAGAGAATGCTGGGTCTTGAAATTAAGTCTTGTCTGTCAAATAGTAGGTAACAAAATGCTAGTCAATCTTGATAAGGTGGTTTCATGAGGGGAAAAAAATCTAATAATCTTTATTTACAATATTCACTAGATATAACATTTCTCCAATGCATAGATGCATTGATTGCCAACTCTATTCAACTAAAGTGCTCTGCAGTTTCAAGAAATTATTTTTATTTGAAGGCACCATTGGTTTTTCTTATGCTTTTATCCTTTACAGTATTGTTATTGGCTCTGTAGTGAAAGGGCAAAATTGCCATCTTTCTTTAGAAATATTTTAAATAAGTACAAAGCCGAACTATAGAGGGAAGATTAAAATAGCCATGTGATCTACCATCTACATTGTGCATAATATTCCTTTACTCAGTAATAAAGGATTATTTTTCTTATCTTCAAACTACAATATAGATTCACTGTTGCATGAATTGCTGAAATAACAGGCTTTCTGGAAATAAATGCGCTCTGATTTCTGCATTGGCTATGTCCTGTAAACACATGCGCTATTACTGCCTAACTGTGAGAACACTTCTGTTTGTAAAGAATAAGAGAACATTTTTAAAAAATATACACTGTTTATGGGAATTTGAATCTTACTCTGTGGGGTACTAATCATAATTGTAGAGCTGTTGCCATTTGAATATAATAGGTCTTGATTTTCTTTCATTGTTGGCTAATTTGAAGAAGGGGAATGCAACATAGTTGCTGACTTTTCTTCTTTCAGGATTATTCTTCCTAATAAATTGGCTAACTAGTTTTCATTGAACAGTGTTGTATAATAATGATAACTATATGTTTATACTGTACCAAGGGGGTGTCTTTTGTAGCATATTAAAAATGGGATGAGGGTATATATTCCAGTCTTCAGAGTCTCATGGGATGGATGATATTTTGGATTTTAGCCCTGGGTGTACTTTCGTCCTCCCCTTTGGAATATGAAGATCAGCACTGCCATGGGGTTTACCTTATACAATAACAAGTTTAAATGTACAGCACATAATACTTATTTTGTTTCAGTGGCAAAGGATGGGATAAAAGTGCTGATAGCATGACTTTGATGATAAGTTGGCTGAGAGCCTATACAATTGGCCCTCCATATTCACTGATTTTCCATCCATGGTTTCAGCCATCCATGGCTTGAAAATATATATATAAAAAATGCAAATGGCAAAGCTGGATTTTGCCATTTTATATAAGGGATACCATTTTACTGTCCCATTGTACATAATGGGGCTTGAGTATCCATGGAGTCCTGAACCCAGGTACCATTGTACTAGGACATCTGGGAATGGGTGATATGCAATGTGTTGAATTCAGATTTAGGCATGTCAGTCAGGGTTGGTGGAAGCAAATTTTTCCTGCCTCTTCTCCTTGTAGCAGACCCTCAGCCCCCTGAAATAATGTAAAGATGCTGTTGGAGGAATGTGGGGAACCTTGTTTGCAAATTGATTTATGGGTTTATAGCATATATATCCTATGCTACAGCCAGAAAGGCTCCCAGAGCTGCTTAGAGATGAATAAAAACAAAACACAGAAGGAAGAAGGGAAGCATGGGAGGAGAATAGGATATGCCATGTACCAAACTATTACAAAGTTAGAATAGCTAACTAGGAATGGCAGATAGGGAGCTTGCAGTCTGAAATGCCACACTCATTGATCCTCAAAGGGCTAGCAAATTGTTGGTTTTATGGAATGGAATTGCTGGGACAATTTTAGTCTTGCCTAGAATTTATTTTTCTTCATAGAACATACAAGAATTCAACAGTATTCAAAGAGATCCACATTAATCTATACCTGCATAATAGAAAATAATCTTGTGGCTCCTTTAAAATTGTTAAAAGCTTTTGTAGATTACAATCAATTTCCTCTATTAATGGAGTACCCAATTTGGGCCTCAGATACAGTGGTATCTCTACTT